GACTCTGTTTGGAAAATATCCCTTACTTCCTGCCCTGATGATAGTCATCACCAGAACACGAATTGAGAGGAATTTCCACTGTACTCACAACCAGAGAAGGTAACCCCAATTGTCAAAGGTTGCATTTCTTTTCAATTTGGAGAGACTTTCTTTCACTTCCTGTTGTGTCACTGGGACAGAAAGTAAAGGAAAATCTCCTCAATGGAGAAAGAGAAATACAAATCTGACAGATGATGTAAGCCTTTCCTGTACTATTTTAAAAAACAATATATTCCTGGAGTTAAAAAAAAAAAAAAAAATCCATGGTCTTAAACTAATAATTATGTATGAATGGTGTGTGCCTAGTAAGATGTTTGACAAAAGAAATAAGTGCTGATGGCACTGTATAATTATAGTGCAATGTGGGATTACATTGTTATTGTAAGGAGTTGTTTTTAGCTCTATATTAAGTCCAGCTATGTATTTTTATTTACAGAAAAACCCAAAAAACTATAAGCTATCAGTTCCATCAAAACTAGATTTTCTACAGGGCACGAGGAGTAGACTTGATGAACAGATCACGGTGAGTATTGCATTCAGCAATAGAATGTCTTTGGCTTAGTATATGGTGTGCAAATAATTGTGCTTTGGACAGTGCAGCTGGTTTTACCCTGTCGGACATGGTTTCAACAGTGTGTTTATTATTATTATTGATAATATACATACACACTTTTAAATGTAAAATATATATATATATATATATATATATATATATATATATTTGTTTATTTTATCTCCTGTCAGGATCATATTTGAACCTTTGGTTTGTTTTCTCTGCTCTTTAATCAGGTCTAGGTTTTTTTTTTTTTGTTTTGTTTTTTTTAATACCCCTGGTAACTTGCCTTTTGCCTGTGAAAAGCTTGTATTTAGTTGGTGGAAAACTGCCAACCCCACCAGCCACCAGGACTTTAACTGTACCTCTAATGGTAATATACAAGAACACATGCATAAAAGAAATAAATCTGTTGCAATAAAGTTGTGTGACATGGACAGATTAAAAAGCCTATGAAACCCTAGTATTGGCTAATTGACAATACTAAAGCATATAGTCGTACGCAAGTTGTACAATTACTGTCAGGTGACTTAAGCAGAAGGACTGCTATGTGCAGGTCAAGAGAGATCACTATATATGTAGGCTGACACGTTTCGCTGGATCCCCAGCTTGATCAGGACCTTGGATCTCACATATGAGTAAGACATAAGCTGAAAAATGTTTCAAAAAGGACATACATCTTAAAAAAAAAAAATTGAATTGAAGAGTAATTACCAACAACATTAATTACAAAAAAAAATGTATATCTTATACCAGCTTTCGTTTAACCTTATCCTTTCCTAAGGGTCACCCTTTGCATATCTAAAAATGGCAGTTCAGAATCCAGATTCCCACATTGTCTTCCCAGTATTCTTCACACCAAAGAACCAGGCTGGGAGTTAAAGATCAAAATATGCCATGGTGGCTGCTGTGTCAATCATTAGCATCATGTCTCAAAAAATGTTTATTGTACTGCATTAGCTTGGAATAAATGCAAAAGAAAAAGAGTCAATGTGATATTTAATAGACCATTCTAGGCAATAAATGAAATCAAACAATAATCTTTTAATGCAATCCAGGAAACACTGCCACTGTACTAAAGTAAAACAGTTAACTGTGGTTCTTTCCTTAGAACTGAGAAATGTGTGAATAGTAAAAAATGAGCACTGATGAATGAAACACATTTGTTATCCTATATTTAACCCTTTTGCAATTTTCCTGAGGTTATTTTCATATTTTGCCTAGAGCAGTCTGAAGATTAAAAAATGTCAAAGTTGATTGTATATAATAATGTAACTCTTACTTTATTCTTTGTCTTTAAATTTAGGGCTAATGCCAAAGCTGCACCTATAAATATAAATAAAGTCTCTAACAGTTTACTAAATCTTGGCCGGAAACTAATAGGTCCAACAGCCCAAAACTGGTGGAACAATGAATCCAATGATCTCACCACCAAACACCAACGTAAGCCATAGTGTTGGAAAAGCTAGTTTTTCTGAAGTTCTTCCAAGTCAACCTGTTGCTGAACCAACACCAACATCATTCTCCACCACCACTGCAGATGCCACAAAATCAGCGCATGATGAAATCGGAGAGCATGCCTGTGCACCTTAGTAAAGGTATGTGTCTTGTGGAAATTTTTACATGTTTACAGGTTTAGCCATTTCAGTTTCCATCATAATTGGAGTGGTGGAACTATAGCACATCCAAAGAAGATTGTCATACTAAGAGCCCAGAGCTGAGTGCAACCCAAGGCTTGATTTTCTTCATGTTTTATTTATTTATTTGTTATGTTGCATCTAAAGCCTTTTTCCATTTTGGATAAAATAGAGAACAATTATTTATTACAGGTCCTTATATAGCGCCATCAATTTGTGCAGCGCTTTACATGTATGTATATATTGTACATTCACATCAGTTCCTAACCCGCAAGGGGCAAGCAATCTAAAGTCCCTAACTCACATTCATACATACACATACTAGGGCCAATTTTAGACAGGAACCAATTAACCTACCAGCATTTCTTTGGAGTGTGGGAGGAAACCCACGCAGGTACAGGGAGAACATGCAAACTCCAGGCAGGTGGTGCCGTGGTTGGGAACCAACAACCCTAGTACTGCTAGGCAAAAGTGCTAACCATTTAACCACTGTGCTAGATGGATTGAGGGGAAACTGACATCTGTAACTACAATAGGTGTCCTTATTGGAAATTTCTTTGTTATGCCACCTCCAGTGACAACTGTCAAATGTTTTATTTTCCATCACTTTTGCGGTGACAATGGTTACCAGAACAAAGGGTAAATCTCCAGCAGGGAGATGGTATTTTTTTTTTACTGCTGCAGATTTACTCTCTTTGTCCTGGGAACCATTTTCATCGCAACATTGATGGGAAATAAAACATTTGACAGTTGTCACTGGAGGTGGAATAAAGAAGAAATTCTCAATAAGGACACCTATTTCAGTTACAGCTGACAGCTTCCCCTCAATCCATTATTGTGTTTCTAGGTCATAAAGAAATTATATTCCCCAATGAGACACAGACAGCAAATAAATAAAACAAACTGAGATTTGCCCATTCTGAGTCTTTTAACCACTTGCCTACCCAAGCAATTTTTAGAATTTTCACACATATGTTAAAATCTGCATTTTTTGCTAGAAATTACTTTAACCCAACCCCCAAGCATTGATTTTTTTTTTTCCTAAAGCAGAGACCTTGGAGACTAAAATGGTAGGAGTTGCAATTCTTCTCACATGATTTCTGTGCAGTTATCTATCAAACACATTTTTTCAGGAAGAATACACTAAAATGAATTTTAGTGCAAACCGGTACAATGTTATATCCTATTTCTTTAGTAAAACATAGAAGATAGAGTTGTGTCGAGTAGATAGACCCAAAGCATGTCAAGCCTTAAAATTGCGCTCACCCTTGAGATCACAAAAAAAGTATTGTAGTAGTCTAAATTCCAAGGTGATGCCTTAAAAGATTTACAGGTTATACATTGAGAGTTAAAGTGACATTAAACCCATTAAGACTACTATATATGGACGATCAGTCAATGTATCATTACAAACAACATTCTATAGTAATCTAGAGTACAAATCAATATAAATGCCCCATATATCCTTGCTTGGTTCCATGTACTGCTATCACATGACATCTAGAGGTTGCTTCTTACTGCACTAGGAGACAGGTTGGAACAAGTAGGGAAGTTCTTACAAATCTGCCTACGTCACTACAGAAACTACCTGTACATAACACTGCAGCAATGTTCTCTGTTCTATCATAATAGACTGGCAGCGAGGCTCCATGTAGGAGCTGCTGCCAATCCGTCTCAACCCTTGCAGTATGTGTCACATGGGGCAGCTAGGAGGTGTAGGAGAAAGTGAATGGCTTCCTTGTGGGTACTGGCAGAGCATGTGCAATTAGAGTAGCAACGCAAAAGCCAGTGGATTGGCTGTAATAGCATTGCCACAGATAATAGGTCCTTGGAAACCGTAGGATCAACCAGGTAATTACTAATTATGCAAATCTGATTGATGACAAGCTTCCGCTACAAGGAACAAAGAAAATTTTTAAAGACATAGACAATTAAAAAATGTTTGGGTTTAATAACAATGCGATACCTAGCACATACAGTGAATATAAAAAGTCTACACACCCCTGTTAAAATGTCAGGTTTCTGTGATGTAAAAAAAATGAGACAAAACTTTCAGAACTTTTTCCACCTTTAATGTAACCTATAAACTGTACAACTCAGTTGAACAACAAACTGAAATTTTTTTTAGGTGGAGGGAAGTAAAAATAAAAAACTAAAATAATGTGGTTGCATAAGTGTGCACACCCTCTTATAACTGGGGATGTAGCTGTGTTCAGAATTAGGCAATCACATTCAAAATCATGTTAAATAGGAGTCAGTACACACCTGCCATCATTTAAAGTGCCTCTGATTAACCCCAAATAAAGTTCAGCTGTTCTAGTAGGTCTTTCCTTACATTTTCTTAGTCACATCCTACAGCAAAAGCCATGGTCCACAGAGAGCTTCCAAAGCATCAGAGGGATCTCATTGTTAACCACTTGCCCTCCTGAGGATTTACCCCCCCCCCCTTCTTGACCAGGCCCTTTTTTGCGCTGCATTGCTTTCACTGACAATTGTGCGGTCATGCAACGCTGGACCCAAATGAAATTTACGTCCTTTTTTTCCCCACAAATAGAGCGTTCTTTTGGTGGTATTTTATCGCCTGTGCAGTTTTTATTTTTTGTGCTTTAAACAAAAAAGACCTACAATTGTGAAAAAAAGCTATATTTTTTACTTTTTGCTATTAAACATGTCCAGTAAAGAAATGAAAAAAAAAATCAAATTGCATCATACATTTAAGTCAAAATGTATTCTGCTACATGTCTTTGCTAAAAAAAAAATCCCAATACTTGTAAATTAATTGGTTTACGTTGAAGTTATAGCATTTACAAATGTCGGTATGTATACTAGTTTTACTAGTAATGGCGGAGATCAGCGGCTTATAGTGAGACTGCGGCAGGCGTGCTGACACTGGGGGGGAACTAACTTCATGTCACTGACATTCCTAGTGACACCAATACAGTGATCAGTGCTAATAGAAAGGGCTGACGCTGTACTAATGGCACTGGGCAGGAAGGAGTTAACTGTGTGTGCTGTTTTACTATGTGGGCTGTGTGTGTGTGTTTCACTGTAAGCATGCTGCTTTGTATGGCTCCTGCAGACCTGTCAGAATATCTGCTTGCCGTACGGGAGCAGATATACTGAAAGGGAGCTTCAATGAACTACCACAGCTTTCCACAGCACTGTGGTAGTTCATTCAAAAACTACAAGCCGACAGCCACTAAAGCTGCTGGGACTTGTAGGCACTCATTCACAGACCTCTGTGAATGAGTGATGAGGCTGTGTGGGCGGAGCCCTGGGCGGCTGCGCTGCTTTCGAATCTGAGAGTACGGAGAGGAGTTTCCTCGTACTATCTGTTGGGGGGGGGGGGGTGGGCACGCCTGCCGCAATGGGAACATGTTACATGTTCCACCCTAAAAACGGGTGGAACATGTAACATGTTCCCTTTAACAGCATCAGAGTTTAGGGCCAGTTAAACAATCCTCTCCTGAACGCAGAACAACCGCATTCAAGAGAGGGAAGTTTTGGACAACAAACACCAAAATATGGCAAAAACACGTGTAAACTTGCCAAAGCGCTAACCACGTTAAGCGCTTGTGCGGTTTTTTGTTTCAATGGCAAGTACAAGTGCAAGCTCTAAACGCTTTTATGCTGCATGAAAAATACCAAAAAAAGCTTCCTGGTACCAAATCCTATTGATACAGAAGAAAAAGAAACTGAACTATGAAGTACTGCAAAGGCATTGGATTGTTTGGGCACAGTAAGGGACCACACAGTAAAATACATATAATCATTTATTGACATAAGAGTCATATATTCATGATAAGACATGCCTCTCAAAAGAGAAAACAAACACACAAACATGCTTTGCAACATGTTTGTGTGGTTGCACGTTAATTTTGTATTCTCTTTATACATGCAGTAGCACTATTCTGCCTCATATTCAAGCTACGGTCCTGAAGAAGCCAAATGCACAGGCGAAACGCGTTGACCGTATTTGGATGTATGCATACTGCAACTGTGCTCAGTGGTATTTTTATTTATATATATATATATATATATATATACACACACACACACACACACACACACACACACACACACACACACACACGAGGGGGGCATTGTGCTTATATTAACAATCGTTTTTGCTTTTGCTCCCTCTTTTGAGAGGCATGTTTGTACTATGGGTCTTATCATGAATATATGACTTTTTTATGTCCATAAATGGTTTTATGTATTTTACTGTGTGGTGTTTTATTGTACCCAAAGAATCCAATGCCTTTGCCGTACTTGGTAGTTCAGTTTCTTTTTCTGCTTTTATGCTGCATTTAGCGTTTTTCTGATGCCAGTAGAGTAAACATTTCAGTTTTACATGTAGCCTGATTCTCCTCTGATATCGGGCACCAACTTTGGAATCCTGTCCTAGAAAAGCTTTTTTGTAATCTGCATTCAGTGACATATGGCTTCAAGGGTTTATAATTGACACTTGCTGCTTGTAGAGCGAGTTATTTTATGACATTGTTATATTCATAAGTCAACCAACAAGGGGCTGTGTGTGATGAGAAGATGACAAAAAAAAACCCTTTTGTTTCAGATGACAATAGGTCTCAGCTTCTAAAGCAATGTTGTTATGTCTGCAAAGTGGCAATGATATGACAAAGAACAGAATAGACAGTGAGTAGACAATGAATGTAAGGTATAATGTACACAAACTGAAAGTCACCAGAGAATCCTATTAACATACACATAAAGCATTTCCAATTTACTTTTAAGTAGTATGTTAATCTAGTTATGTAAAATGGACAGAAGAACCCTGTTGTATAAAAGTAGAACAACTGCTAATCCTATGAATAAGAAAGATAAATAGAATTAGTTCTTAAAGTGAAACCATAATGTAATTAAACATTACGTGACTTTTGTGACATTTACCCAAAAGTGATGTTACCAATGCTGTTGCCTAAGTTATATATTGCATCCATATACAAATTTGTAAATGTTACCTCCACTGATCATCTGGAAGATGGACATCTAAATCCTAACAGGGTGAGATTTAGTTTGCCAAAGCACCATGCTTCATAAACAACTGCCATTTTTTTTTTTAATAAAATACAGTTTTTAAATGTTTTTCATTCTTCTTTTCATCCCAGTAATGCTGATTTCCTTCAGCTTATTTTAGCCACCTCCTGTCTACATGCTCCAGCCTCAGCTGCACTTCATTTCCCGGGAATGGCTTCCTGGCTGTGATAACAGTAGACCATGTCTGCACAATATGTGTGCTTCTAACAGCGAGCATTTAATGCAACGGGGAACTCCATGTGATGGGATAATGCAGGAGCACAACTGGGAGACAAGAACATCTTGTCCTTTGCACCTCAGGTCTACTGATCTCCTCCAGCCTCTTTCAGTACAGGTGCCATTTAGTTTTCTCAGTGAATACAAAGTGTGCTCTGGTTGGACAAGGTGGGGAGGTGACCTCACTGAGAACGCTTTGTATCTATTGAGAAAAATACAAGGCGTTCTCTGAATGGTGCCCATGCTGAGCCAGATGACCCTTTATGGTCACTATGCAACAGACAGACACTGCATCGGACTCGGAAAGACAGCACTGTAGTAGGAATGGCTACTACAGTGATTCTCCGGTCAACATTGATCGGCCAGGTATGGAATGTGAATATTCACACCGGTACAAGCTGGACCATAGTAACAATGCAAAATAATCCCACACCAGCTTTAACATTTACATTTACAATAACACGTTCAATCTTATATGAGATTTTATTCAAGATCTCAATATCTTCGATGTTGCATGTGTCAGGTCCCACTACAATGTGGAAGTAAGACTAATGACCAGTTTAATGCCGATGTGACACTTATGAAGACTATCTAAGCTCTCTCCTTTATCAGTATAGTTGGAGGTTACTGTGCATGTAAGCAGAGAAAGCTTAGATATGTTAAAGGATAAATAAACCCAAGAACATATATTTATTATTTTACAGCTGACCTCCTAAAATCCTCATGTGGTATCCGCTTTAGTTTTCTGCAAGTAAAGAAAATTGCTTTTGCCCGAAATCGAAGATTTTTTTGTCATAACTTCCCATGGAAGACATTTCAAACAATGCCATCAGCTTTTTCAGCTATATTCTGTGAACTACAAAGCGGTGGTCGTCTATGTAGGAGATGGGGAGATATTTGTTGCCCAAATCAAGAGCACAACTTAACCCTCTTCATGACCACATTTTTTTGCTTTTCAGACCTAGGCTACAGTCATGCAATGCTGTGCTCAATTGAAATTTATTACAAAATATTCACACAAATAGAGCTTGCTTTTGGTGATATTTGATCACCACTGTGTTTTTTATTTTTTTATTATATAAATGAAAAAAGGTCAAATTTTGAACAATATTTTCTACTGTCTGCTATAAAATATATTGAATAAATTTTTTTTAAAGAAATCAAATTTCTTCATGAATTTAGACCAAAACGTATTCTGCTACATGTCTTTGGTTAAAAAAAAATCCCAATAAGTGTATGATAATTGGTTTGCATGAAAGTTATAGAGTCTACAAACTAAGATATATATATATAGTGGAATTTATATGTATTTATTTAAACTAGTAATGGCGGCAATCAGCAACTCATACTGGGACTGTGATAGTTCGGGAAGCAATCTGACACTAACTGACACTTTGTGGGAACTAACTGCTACTGACCTCACCAGTGACAGTAATACAGCGATCAGTGCTAATACTATACACTGTCACTGTAATATTGACACTGGCTGGGAAGGGGTTAACATCTACTAGTGTGTACGGTGTGAAGTATGCGCTGTTTTTACTAAGATGCGCTTGCTTTGCAGGAAGAAAAATAAAGGGTACATTGCTGCTGTCTGTGCAGAGCTCTGTGTTGTTTGTCAACACAGAGTTCTGTTCTGTCATTCACTCAGCCGATCAGCAGGTCCCATCCATAAAGCATTGGCCGGGACTAGTTTGTGCTGTAGCGAATGACAGCACAGATGGAGAGGCACCCCCTATCTGGAAATGCCAGATCATGTACATGACAGGCCCACAGTATATCTGCATGGACCAGTTGGCAAGTAGTTAGGATGACAATACTGCTCCACCATAGATACAGTGTGGCAGGAACACCAGGTGGAAAAAAGCTGCAATATAGATTGGCACCTAAGGCAGGATTGCCAATGTGTACCTCTACACCCCCCATCCTTCCCAAGCTATTTAATTTTACGCTGCAAAAAAAAACTAACACAAATTTAAATCAGTACAAAAATGCTAAAGGAAAGGAATGCAGGAGTCTTGACTGTTATTCAACTCAGTTAGTGTTAGAATATGTTATTCATTGTGACTCGCAGACATGAACATTGATTGTTTAGATCTTCACTTCGAAGTGGGGTCTGCAAATGTAATTAGAAAATATATCTGCACTGAATCCCTGAGGGTTCCCTCTAGTGGCTAATCTACAAATTTCTGCATTTAATTCAATATCAGGAATATGGACATGCGAGACTGTAAATATTTGAAGATCTTGTGAAATAGAATTTTAAACATCATAACGACTTCACATTCTCCAGAAAACCTGACAGAACTCCTCCCCTGCCTAGGCAGCCTGAATTTACTATACTTACCTTAATCACCTCTCTCCCAGTGCCACCACCACCACTCTCTAAAAATCCAAGTGTTTCTGGATACTAAGTAGCTCATCACACATCACTTACCTACCAGCAATGCAGCACTTGGAGCCTGTGCAGTCAACCACCAGCGTAAGCCTAGGGTAGGTTAGGGGGTGTTTTTTTGTTTGTTTTTTTTTCTTTTTCTTTTTTTTTA